CCGATGCGGGGCTCGATCCCAGGACCCTGGGATCATGACCTGAGCCGAAGGCAGACGCTTAACGATTGAGCCACCCAGGCACCCCTGAATTTTCTAATCTTATTTAAAAATACCAAAGCCCAGATCTGGATGATTCAGAATGTAGGGTTTATACCAGTGAGAGAAGATGGTAATGAGTTGAGATAATACAAAGGACTGTATTGTCAAATCAGACTCACTCGAATGAGAAATCTTAGCTAATAACAAGATTTACTAATAATTTCAAGAGATATGTAATCATGAGGCACAGGTGAAACAGGGAGAGATCCAGGACCTTCAATGTAGTTACCTAGGTTACTTCTTACCAGTCAGGATGTGCTCTGGCTCAGGTTACTATATAGGACTATCATGTGATATTCGTGGTTCCATAAAGGACACAGAAGAGGATCATTTTGCTGTGATACATTGTCATGTGTCCAGATGGCTGTATAGTTTATGTAACATTTTCTAGAGAGATGTGTGCTACAAATTCATAGATTCCATGTTTGTTTAGTACAAGCAATCCAGGCAAATCAAGTATAGCATGCTAAAATATTTTCACAGATAAAGACCCTTCTGAGAGAGAATATCATTAGTTTGTGTACCAGAACTGTCATCAGCATGTTTGCAAGGAGATTTGGCTAAAGTAGCTTCTTTGTTTCTCAGGGCATCTCCCCTATCACCCTCCTCCTGCCACTAGGGAGATTATGGATTGCAGACATTCTGCTTAATGACTTCTCCCCAGGAGCCATTTGAAGAAGGTGGGTTCAACTACAGGGCAGGAAAGAGACTGGAAGAAAAGTGCATTCAGTTTAATTGTTGTTGGGTCTTTGGAAAGAGATTTAGTCTTTGCTATAGCTTTTCAGCTGAGTCCTGGGAGAATGTATGTCTCTGAAGACACCAGATAAGTTTGGAGATATCTCAGAGCTGAGCATGCCATGATTTAGGAGTCTCAGGACACAGCTAAGCAAGATGGTAAGTATCTCAGAATATTAGAGGTATAGGTTATTCATGGTTGATTGAAGTACCTGGTGGACCAGCCTGGACCATAGCGATACTATAGAGTTTTGCACATCCAGGCCAGGGCATGTTGAGGGAAGATTTCTAAATTTGTCTACAAGAAATGTAGGGAAATAGATATGAGGGCCTTACCATTGGAAGAAGGGATATGTAGATTATGGGCCTGTCAACTGGAGGTCATGGCAAATCAGAGACATCCAGAACAGATGCAATAGACATAGATGATACCTGGATAAGGGAGGATCAGCTGGCTTCAGGGGACATGACATTACATGGGTAAGATGTCCTTGCCTCAGTTCCAGGAAAACTTGTAAGGCCACTTGGAATTCACATTAATTCAAGGAAAGGAAAAGAAAGAGCCAGGAAAGGAAGTGGGGAAAGGGGAAAGGGAGAGAGAGAGAAAGAGAGAACTTGACTTGATTCCATTTTATATTGGAAAGTGCTTTGTTACCTTGAAAGGGCAAGATAAATTCTTCTGGTAAAAAAATATTATATTGTAAGCCCAATTCCATTTGGTTACAGAACAATTAAAATTATATTTTTGAAAGATTTAATTCATGACAGTGGCATTTCAAACATACTCTATTGTCTTTGCTGAAGAATAAATAAATAATAGACCAAATTGTTTTAAGAAAATACCTTTACTCTTACTAGTTGTGTTATCTTGGTCATGTTACTTAATCTCACTGACTCTAAGTTTTGTTTTGTTTTTTATAAAATTAATTATAAAATAGGCATAACTAATCTATTCATACAGTTGCTGTAAAGAGTAAGTAAGATATAAATGAAAGCACCTAGTATTTAGCTTCTTGCATGTAGATTATCAATAATTGCTTGGAAAAGATAATCTGAACCAATGTCATTGAGATGATATTACTCCTTCACATTTCATAAATTATTTAGCTCCTGTTTCCATATTAAGGCAAATCTTCTGTGAACTTTTGAGATTTGAAGTCACCATTTTTGTTCTAATTCTGGAATGCAAACATTGAGGCAATCAAGTCTTCAACTGTTATTAGAAGTAGGAGTTTCAGTTGCAGAAGAGTGAAAAAATATATCAAGTGCCATAAAGTCCCTTTTTATTGGTGTAGTCATAGCTGTAATTAATCAATGGATCCTCACAGATGTTGATCTGAAATAATCCTTGCATTTCTACAGCATACACCTTTTTTTCCCCCTAAACACTGATTTTTAATTATTTGAATTCATTATGGGACTTTTGTTGTCCCATCTTAATTTATATGAGAGGACAAGGCAAATACATTTGTGATATTTCATTTATTATTCATTTATTCGTTTTATTTTATATCAGTGGAAGTACTGGCATTATGGGTATGTGTGCATTTTCAAGAGGCTCTACTCTGCTAAAAGTAATAAATAGTACTGGCAAGCTTTTGGGAGCCTTTCTTCTCTTATGAGGTTGGGAATGTAGGGGTATAAAGGACGCAACATTTCCTCGGGATATTTTTTTAAGCAACAGCCAAAAGTCAATCAGTGCCTTCATTTTTAAAAGAAGTCCACTGAGGTTTGCAAGTTCATTTGTGTTTGAATGCTGGAATGATAGGCATGAAACTAATTAGAGACCGAAGGCTACACTGCCCCCTCGTCTTCTTCTGGATATAGCACATTTGAGTTCCATGACAGGGAAGCTTGAGGGGAACATATGGCCAAGCTTATCATTCTTTAACAAGTTAACCCCAAACAAAACACATTTCTGCCTGTAATTTTTTGAATTTTTAAAGCAACTCTAAAAAAACAAGAGGAAGTTAAAAATATTCTAAACGGGACTTTCAAAATGGTCATTGCAGTAACTTTTAGTATAGGAATAAACATATTAGTAGGGTTCAATTTTCAAAGTAACTAACTTGGACCTCAAAGTCCACATTAATATGTAAATCATTTGAAATCTGTAATTGTAAAGAAGGAAAATGTTGCTAAAATAATGATCTGGGGGAAAAACCCTAAATTTGTGTATCTTGGCATTTATAGTAGAGGAAATTGGAAATTATAAAGGTTAAGTTATATGTTTGTTTCTCTTGAAAATCAGTAATACAAGATCGGAAACATCGAGATGAAAATAAGAAGACTTGATTTTTATTCCAGGTCGGTCGGTAGCTAGTTCTTTGACCTGGGCTCTCATTTTCTTCCTGGAACCTGTGCTTTCTTCAGGTAAAATGAAGACATGGTATTAAAAGATCTCTATTTTCCTTTGTTTTAACATCCTCTGAGGTTGTTTCATCCTTTTTTGCTAACTTTACTTCTGACTTTTGCAATGCACCATAAATTTATGAATGTTTTATATTTCATAATTAAGCTTTTGAGACTGCACTCTTGTGGCATTGTGGACTGAGATGAGATCTACTTAGAATAATATACCAAAGTGGACTTTATTTATTTATTTATTTATTTATTTATTTATTTTTTTAAAGATTTTATTTATTTATTTGAGACAGAGAGAATGAGATACAGAGAGCATGAGAGGGAGGAGGGTCAGAGGGAGAC